AAATAGAAGGGGAAGAGAAACAGACGGCTGGCCAAATCAGTCAGGCTAGAGGAAGAACTTCCTCAAGGTCTTGCTATTTCTGGGGTAACCCATACTGTCTACCCCAAAAATGACAGTTTGAAGCCAAATGTTGAAGGATAACCATGCCAGCTTCTTCAAAGATGGCATCTGATTGAATATAAAATATCTCTTTATTCATACAGGGAAGGGGGTGTTAATTCCACATTACTGGGTATCCTTAGCTCCCAAACCCCTAAAGACAGATACCTGGGCCTAATTCTTACAGATTAAGGAAACCCCAAGGTTCTATCAATTTTCACAAAGGATCCGACATGGAGAACAAGACTGTAATCTTGACCTTAATCTTTCAAATCAGAATTTCACTGATAGATTAAAAAAAAAGAATAATCTTACCTTCCAAAGTTTCAATTTTATTTTATTTTTTTAAACATCATATTTTTATTTTTATTTTTTTACTTTTTTCCCCAAAGCCCCAGTAGATAGTTGTATGTCATAGCTGCACATCCTTCTGATTTGCTGTATGTGGGATGTGGCCTCAGCACGGCCAGAGAAGCAGTGCTTCGGTGTGCGCCCAGGGTCCGAACCCGGGCTGCCAGCAGCGGAGCGCGTGCACTTAACCGCTAAGACACAGAGCCCGCCCTCAATTTTATTTAAATTAAAGTTTCAATGATAACAAAAATCCATACATATTAAAGATAAATGCATGAGAAGCCTAAAGAAATAATCTACTTCTTTAAATCATGTTACCAATTTGCACCAAAATTTTCATTTCCTATGTACAGGTGCTGAGGGTCTGCCACCCATGATGAGTGACATAAGTCTGCGTGGCTGACAAGGCTACTGGACGTTGTTATGGGTTGAACTGTGTCCCCCTAAAAAAGATATTTTGGATTCCTAACCCCTAGTAGCTGAGAATGTGACCTTAGTTGGAGATGGGGTCTTGACAGAGGTAATCAAGTTAAAATGAGGTCATTAGAGTGGGCCCTAATCCAATACGACCAATGTCTTTTGAAAAAGGAGAAATTTTAAACACACAGAGACACACACAGGGAGAACTCTATGACTGGAGTTACGCTGCCACAAGCCAAGAACTACCAGAAACTGGAAGAGAGGCCTGGAACAGATCCTGCCCTGATACCTTCAGAGGGAGTACGCCCCTTCCCTCAGACTTCTAGCCTCCAGAACTGAGAGACACTAAATTTCTGTTGTTTAAGCCAGTCAGTTGGTGGCACTTTGTCACAGCAGCCCTAGCAAACAGATGTCATGAAGAAAATGAGCAGTTCATGTTTACGGAGCACAAAGCAAGAGTTATGCTAAGCACTCTGCATCAACAAACTCATTTAGTCCTTACAAAGTCCACTAGGATCTAGGTACCATAATTATTCGCTTTTTCCAGATGAGGACACCAGGGCTCTAAAAGGTTAAGGAACTTGCCTAACATCAGCCAGAGCCCCCACTCTTACCATTAGGCTATAAGGAACTATTACTAATAGTAATTATTATAAGAACAGTAGTAGTTCACTAAGCCAGACACTATGTCCTTTACAGATATAACATACACAACAATCCTCTGAAGTAAATGTTAATAGTATTTCCAGTTCAAAGGAGGACCCCGAATCTCAGAGAGATTAAAAAATTGCCCAAGATCATACAACCAAGAACATGTGTCTCTATAGTGTCTCTAATTGCTAACTTGGGAGAATAAACAATGAAAATCTTTTTAACTAAAACTTTTAAGAGCAAGTAAATTTTTTAATGCTTGACCCTGCAATTCAATACTAGAAATACACATCTATAAATTCTAAATTCTTCAAGATCCCAGGAGAATATGCGTCCTAGATTACAGTACCCTTTCTGTATGTACCCCTTCAACCTCTGTTCAAGGGCTCTCTCCTCTCTCAGTGGTGGCCTCTTGCTGTTTCTCTGACTTCCAGATACAGGAGGAGAAGAAAACATGTAAGGACTGAGATATTCTTTTTTTAGGTTTTTTTTTAAATTTTATATTTAATTTGTTGATTTTGATACAAACATCACAGAGTGTAAAAAAATATAATACAGTGAGAAGTCTCCTTCCAACTCTGTCCTCCACCTGCCCAGTTCCTAGACTTAACAGGTAACCAATGTCACCAATTGCTTGTTTATTCTTCTAAAGTCTTTTTTTTAATGCATATACAACAAGCCAATACGAATTTTCTTTCTTAAAAACATAAAAGGCAACATCTCATACACACTGTTCTGCATCTTGCTTTTATCACTTGACTGTGTATCTTTGAGATCTTTCCATATCATATTGAATTATATTTTAATTCTCTCTTTCTGTTTGCCAAGAATACTTTTTACTTCTTTCATCACAGTCCAGTCTAGCACACAAGGCAACCGGCAGTCCCTAAGAGCTATCTGAGACAAGTGATGGTGGCACCATACCACACACCAAAGACCACATCTCTCTCCTCTCTGCCTCCTCATCTTCACTTTGCTCTTTTCTCCAACTCGCCCAGCTCTCCTCCTTCTCCCTGTTCCTCTCTCATCTCACTCAGGCCCCAACGCTGACACCTGGACCAAGAAACATCAAACATCATTGAGACTGCTTAGTCATGGCTAGCAATAAAAAAGCTGTAGACCCCTGATAGAGAGAAAAAAGGGTAAATAATTTCCATGGGAACTTCTAATTGACAAGAATGCCTTAAATTGAGGAGTTTTTGTTTGGAGTTATTTTTCATTTGTTACTTATGTTTCCTTTGGTACTCTGGTTTGTGAAAACGGTGAGTATTGGCACTATTTTCTACAAGCACATACTCAGGCCTAACATTTTTTTTTTTAAAGATTTTATTTATTTTATTTTTTCCCCCCAGAGCCCCAGTGGATAGTTGT